CATAAATACGATAAACAAAATTTTTCTGGGATTTGGTTCGAATGAACACGGAGACTCGGTTCGACACAGTTCGATTAACGACTCAAACCAGATCTTCGAAAAAGTTTGCTCTGCTTTGAGTCAGCGGTGTATCCTCAGAGGATGGATCGAATAACTGTCCTTATTACTATTCCACGTAACTTTGTAACGCGATATCGACGAAGGTTTCTCCACGTTACGAGTTGTTATGTCCTACTGCGATGAAATCTTTGATTTGACGAATCTCAGTGCGAGTATAAATCGTGTTCATCCGCGTGAACGTAAAGAAGAAGACTCAGAATTTTCAAATATTCATGTACAGGTGACTCTTCTATAACACGAAAATCACATATTACTGTGGGATGAATAGGGTAATGTATACATATAGTTATCGACCCATTGTAATGATTGACCCTTTTCCTAAAAAAGTAGAAGATATAATATAATGCTATAATTCTATTCGGAAGAAACAGTATTTGAGCTGCGAAAGATAATTATATTTTAAATTTAGAAAATGAAAATATCAAGTACAGAATTAGATTGAAATTGTGCCTCTCTACGTGGTCCGCCGTCCAAGGGTTATGAAACGCATTATATCATATTTCTTACTGTTTTAGGAATAACAAATGAGTATTTATACTTTCAAAGGCGTTAAGGGGTATTTTATACTTTTAGAAGTATCAAATTCTGATATTATTCGATATGGTATCATAATTTGTAGGCTGAAATCTACTGTAGTATTGATTCAGTATCGTTCTAACTACTTATAGTACTTTTATTATACTACTTCGGTATAAAACATCGAAGAACCTTCCTTAATTTCGCCAAAAATTTCATCTTATACAAAAGTTACATCAATTTTGAAATCGCGTCGTATGAAAACCGTATTCGCAAAGTAAGTACGTGTTACAGAAGGGTTACCTGTACCCTAATCCCTTCATCCTTTCTCCCATAAAGGAAAACCCTTACATCTTGTGCCCGCACATTCCATCAACGTTAACGTCGACCATCAAAATCGACGATATGGCGATACGTGGAACAAATTACTTCCACGAACATGAGAATTCTTCCTGCAACGTAACAAATTCGAAAATCGAAGGAATCATTGTTAACGCGTTGATTGTAATACTGACACGGGCGTACGAGCACGAAATAATTATTAATCATAACTTGTAATAATATGTACACTTGAATGGACAAATGAAAACTTATTAATTTGAATCGCATACAAAGACAAAAAAAAAAAATATATATATATATATAATATATCCAACAAATACATATTTAACGTATACATATTATAAATAATAATCACTTTGCAAAACACGGTCATGTAAAAAATATCGTGGTTTCGATAACAATCACATTGCACGGAATATCTCTATTCTCGAAGCCGTTCTCATCTCTCGTCACCTCAACCTATTTCTCTCTTGTGTTCATTTCATCTTTCCAGTAACAACCTTCTCTTTTTTCTTCTCGATTCTAACGACAGGAAAGAACGAAGAAAAGCGATGTGTAAAGAGAAGACAGAAACAGGAACAGACAGGACTGAATAAAAAAAAATTAAAAACAAAAATAATAATTATGAATATCGATAACGAACACGACCACGACTCTGTATATTTTTGTTGTTTTTTTGTTTTTTGTTTTATTACCCTTTTTTCCTAGCGATCTTCTTTTTTTTTATCATTTTAATTTTCTTACATATTGGTCCGATGTGTGCTCATTCGAAGAAAGGACCTATCTATCTAATAATTGTCCTCTCTTCTGACGAAAAAATACACGGATCTTTTGATAACACGAACGAAGAAGAACTCGAAGAGAATACGTCCACGAAGTAGCGGTCGGAATTATTGAGATCGTTAAAATGTTTAGGGAGATATAAAGTGGTGCTACAGTGCTGGATAACGAATTCCCGTGTGCCTTGTTCTTAATATCCGCCAGTCAAATGATTTTTCTTGATCTTCTAGTCTATTCGTGGCCAAGTTCCATTATCATTCTACTAAACTATTTGCAAAAACAATCGCTAGTCTTCTATGTGTCAACAAATTTAATTTACATATAAAATACAAGAACAAAATGAAGCATACTAAGAAAGAAAATGATTTTTCTTAAGAAAGTATAAATCAATTTTATACAAACTTCAATTCTTTCATTTCTTTTTCCAATATACTTGATTGAAGTTTATATCTGATGAATCTCAATATTGACAAAAATCAGTCAATTAAAATACTGATAAAATACTGAAGATTTTGTTGATTGTAAAGTAAACGAAATGAAATTCGAATGAAAGCCGAAATGTGTTAGTGAAAATTCATAAAATGTTTGATCGATAGTTAGTCGAAGATAAAGGTACATTTTCTTAATTAATACTAGGCTGAAAGTTCATGAAGGTCAAGTAATTGTACATAAATAAAAAGAAAAAGTTTGATTTCCCAAACTCGATTTTATTTCGATGAGAAAAATCATTTCCTCCGCTCTGCTCTTCTTAAGATTAAAACTTACACGTGTACGTACAACTTAACTACAAATAAAATCTTGACAAAAGAATAGAGAACGTAGAAAATTAATACGAGCGTTCAATTAATTTCAACGCGTCATTAATCGAATGGAAGATCCCTGATTTTAGAATCTTCTTATCATCGTATAAAACAACATTTCTACCAACGAGATAATTTAAAATATCGTATTACAAGCAAAGAAACGAACAAACAAAAAAACTACAAATACTACAAAAAAAAAATTCATTTATTGGAAATCTCTCAGTCTTGACGATAATTTGATGAAATCGAAGCTAATAAAAAGGTAAACTCCATTTCTTAAATATATACAAAACAAGCAACAATTAAAAATACAATTAAAATCTACTCTCGCGTATTTTACTAATAAAATTCTAAAATCGTAGCTTAAAAAAGAACGTTCCATTATTCATTTTTCTATTCGCGGAATGACACGTTTCGTTATCCAGCACCGTGACGGGAAACGCGCGTAACAACAAAAGAAGAAGAAAGTGGAGAACGGAAGTTAGGGATAGAATAGAAAGAAAGAGAGAGAGAAAAGACAAGAAACGAAAACTAGAAAGAAAGAAAAAGAGATCGGAATGAAATAATCGACCGATCGATTCGGAACTGTAAATTTTTTTTTTTTCTTCTTTCTTCTTTTTTTTTTGTTTTCATTCACTTAGGTAATCCTACTAGCTATCTACTGTATGTACTTACAGTCGTAACAAGCTACAAAATATGTTATCACTATAATAATAATTAGGAGCTGCGCGACCATATGCACGGAGGCTTTAAATCACAGCTTTTGTAGTACGATTAGCATCTCATAGAGCTGTACAATGACTAGCCAGCATGAAGATCATCGCTTTTTTATTATTTTCTTTTTTTTTTTTTCTTCTCGTTCTCTCATTGCACCTGGTTTCCCGAGCTGAAACGTGATCTCGACGTTTTTCCTCCTCCTCGGAGGCGGGAAAACGTCGATTTCGTTTCCTCCGCCTTTTCTATAAAATAGAAATATATATATACACACATCCACGCGTACGAACGAAAACAACAAACAAAGAGAACAAAGAATTATTTCTTTTGTCGTTTCATCTTTCTGTGCTCGCAATCCCTTGCGAGTAAATCAGTCTTGTCCGGTGACTCGACTTCGCGTCTCATTTAAATCAAAAGCCTCAGGCATACGCGCGCAGAGAATTGTTCTTCCATTTTTGTTCAGCGTGAAGACTAAAAAAAAAGAGAAAAAAAATCGTCGAGAAGGACCTACGATGCAAGAAGGTTCGAGGCACGCTAGCGCAATTAATTTTCTATCCTCCCGATTTTTCAATTGCATTTTCTTTTTCTTTTTTTTGGTTCCGTTCTGTTGCGTTTTGTTTCCCTTTTTCTCTAATCGACTTTAATCCGTGCACCATTTTTTTTTTTCTCTTACCGCGGCCGATTCGAAACTATTTGGCGCGTGCGACGCCCACGAACCGTCGCGACGCTCTGCGTCGAGATCCTCGTCTATTTTCGTTTTGATCGGCGAAACGAACGGACACCGCACTGGACCGTGCGCGAAAATCTTCGAAGGAAACGAAAAATTCTGATATCCTCGCGTTTCTTAACTCGCAACTGTCATGGTCCCCCCCCCCCCCCCCCCCCCCCCCTCCCGCGTTTCCATTTTCGCGTTCAAGCTTTCCTTGTGGCGTTAGCGTTAAAAAGATTACTAATCATTCGTGATAACCAGAACAGTAGTAATAATTAATAATAGTAATTAATAATAATATTTCGCTAAAACTAATCTCTAATAGTAGTCAAAGAAAAAAAAAAATATATTCAACAGCCCTGCTATTACACTCTTAGTATTTAGTATCTTACGATTTGCACATCCGCTCGTCGTTTTTTCTTTTATAATACACCCATATGTATATGTATACGTATGTACAATATGTATCTTGTGTGTACAATACACTTCGATATGTGAAAAGTAAGTACACCTATGGAACTGATTCAAAGCTGTACAGTAAAATCCTACGTGATAAAAAGAATATTAACACCGACGACACGTATCCGTTTGTTCAGACACGTGTGGTATAGAAAAGTATTAGTAGGAAGAATAAGTAAAGATGCGAAGAAGAAGGTAGCGTGAAAGGAAGGAAAAACATTTGGAGAAGAAGAAGAAGAAGAGAAAGAGAACAAACTTAAAATTAAAAATTAAAGAGAAACCATGACGACTGAGTTACAGGTCCTATCAATACACGCGCTAAAACGAAGTAACCGTTTGCGTGTTTCTAATAATAATAATAACAGTAGCAGTAGTAGTAGTAGTAATAGTGGTAATAATAATAGCGAGAGTAATATATAGTTGGGAAAATGTTGGTGGTAGTGGTGGTGGTGGTGTTGGTGTAGGTGGTGGAAGTGGTAATGATAGTTTAGTAAGAGTAGTACTAGTAGCTGTAGTAATTGTAGTAGTAGCATTAGTAATAGTAATGTTGTTTTTTGTTTGTTTTGTAAAAGTAGTAGTAGGGTGTCTACCAAACACCTTCGGTAGAGACCAATGTCCGTTTAAATTCTGATAGCTACATCGCTCCGTGACATTGCTTTTCTTTCTTTCTTTCCTATTATTCATCTTATTTTTTTTTTCTTTTCTTTTTGTTTCCTCGCTTTGATATCCATCAAAATAGTAAAACCAATAGTTTTAAACATTGTAGATAATAATTACTATCTATATCACAGATCCAAGTGACTAAACTCCTTTAAAAATATAATATAAATATGTGTATGTGTAATGGTTTCTCGCGCATAATATATATACACACATAGATAATATATATATGTATATGTACTCGCAGATGTGATTGGAAAAATGAAAATAGGTAAAATCAAGAAGTGCGGAAACTTGGAAAAACTAGTGTAGAAACGTGTTTACGCATTAGTTTATGCTAACATCGATGTACCACGACAGAACGGTTTTCATTAAAAACGAGGAAAAGTCCCTTCGAACGGTGCTATTTAATTCTCGTTAAAATACGCTTCGTCAACGTGGTATCCATTAGATGGATCCAAGACTATGTCAGTAAGACACGGTGTAAAAAACGGTCATCAATTTACAATTGATCCACTTGATTTTCGTTAAAATAGAAGTAAAAATTAAAAAAAAAAAAAATAAAAAAAATAAAAAAAAATAAAAGACAGTAAGAGTCGAAACAATGTAGGTGCGTAAAAATTGTTTTAGCGTTAATATTAATCCACGATCGTAATTAAGCATCCGTGACGATCCAGAAAGCCGGATGCTTATTTTAGGCACTTTGTTTAACCAGCACCATTAAATGACACGCGATCGAAGAGTCCGTGGTTTGGTAGCGCCTCGTGTCGCGGCCGATCCGTCCACTCCGTTCGTGGTAAATATCGTGATTGCTGGCATAAACTGACTTTTATTCAATTGTTGCGTTGAATATATTCGGGGTACGAGATCGGGGAACTCGTATTCGAGTACTGAGCGTATAAATATAGTGCAGGATGAAGCCCTGGCGGATGTATGCCGCGATGCAGTTGATGAGACTGATGATGCGACTCCGATGATTCTATAGGGGATGATGATATTTGCGGATAGAGTTGGGAGCTTAGGCTATCCAGCGAACTGGATGAGCCCGTAGTTTGGTAGACACTCTGCGGTGTGGTGTGCTCGTGAGACACAGGTGAATTAAGTGTGAATGGCGATGACGCCGAGGTGGGACATACTACTTGCTGCGGTGACTGGTGTTGCGGTAGGGAGTCGGACACGCTGCCGTCTAAACACTAGTTGGTTGTCTGCGGATGTAACAGTGGTAGAGGAAGTTGAAGATTATTTTGCTTGGCTAAACTTGCGATTTCAGCTGCAATCCCTCCTTTAGAGCCAGCTAATCCATCCAACGAAGAAGGTCCTTCGCTGTAGCGTAAATCACAAACTGGGCTCTCGAAGCCTGTACCTTGTGTACCGTCACCGGTACTCTGCGGCGTAGCCGGATTGTGATTTGTACTGCTTTGATTCATATCACGGTGTACTCGATTCTGATGCCGTATCAGATAACTGTCGCGTACGAACGTACGCCCGCAAATGTTGCACTCGTACGTGGTACTCGCCGTATGGGTACGGATGTGTATTGCGAATTGACTCTTGGACGTGAACGTTAGCGAACATCTGTCGCACACCAATGGTTTTTCAGCAACGTGACTCCAACGGTGGGCCGTCACATAGCTTTTCACTGCAAAACGTTTCTGACAAATATCGCAGGCGTACGGTCTTTCTCCTGTGTGTACCCGTTTGTGAGTATTAAGACTACTCTTCTGAGTAAACCTCTTCAAGCACAGCTCACATTGGAAAGGTCGTTCTCCCGTGTGCGTCCTCATGTGCACTTCCAAGTATGGCTTCCGACAAAAACTTGCTTCGCATACAGTACAATGATATGGTTTGTTGCCCGAGTGAAGTTTCATATGTACATAATAAGACGAAGCAGAGGATAGCACCTTGCCGCATACCTTACAAGGTTGTGGTTTTGACCGGGAACCTTCTTTAACCGTCTGTTGACCCGTTGACTGGCGGCTTGGAACTTCTTGTTGCACAGTCTGACTCTGCTGCTGTTGACTCTGTTGCGTCTGTTGTTGATTCTGTTGTATTTGTTGCTGACCCTGTTGCTGGGTTAACTGTAAAGTCGTTTGCTGCTGGGTCGACAGAGGATCCTCTTGTTGAGACAGGTCTTCCCGATCATCAGACAAATTCACCATTGAATTTGAACCATCCGAGCGGCTTGATGCAACAGAATAGAACCCCATGGGTTCGCTTTTGATTTGTTGTTCAAACATGGACGTCATTATATCAGTCTGTTGCGGCTGAGCCAGCTGTTGTGATTGCGGCTCCTGCTGTTGCACTGCTTCTTCTTGGGGGAGCAGAGTCAGGTTGCGCTTGACAAGCTGCTCATATCCTGCGTACCAATCCACCTGCATGACAGGGAACCTCTATAAATCGCCATTTATCACACTGCTTCAGATATAAAAATCTGCGACGATGTAGATACACTCGTAATATCGGTTTCATGCATACCCGACTCATATATACGCGTGTCAGGTTAGACCAATCGCTTTGACATTTATCTTTGACAAGTGACAGAAGGTAGCTGGACGATCAGCTGATTGCATAACTTTTACGCGAAGCACACGAAGACGGAACGATGCCGTCGTCAACAGAACGTAACCCAGCAGTAAGCAACACGGGCAACTCTATTTTTAAAAAAGCGACGGGAGAAACGGCGGAATATTTTGACTGCGAAACCGGATTCTTCGTAAGCGCTTCGTAAAGTGGGGGTCGGTTTTGCTGTAGCCAAGGAAGAAAGCAGCATTTCTACGAACCTTTGCTAATGTAGTGGTCCGAGCTAGGGTCGAAAAACGTCACGCCTCATCGAGCGCACGCCTCCCGTTCTCGAGCGGCTTCACGGACAATCGCGAAACATTTGTACGGCCAAATTGTTTTTCTCCGACACAAAATATAAGATGGCTGCTACTATATTTCGCGACCGTCACCTATATATACTCCTACAAACACACGTACCTAAGTACCGACCGACGATACTCGCCAACTTTCCTAATTGGCTATCTTTCTTAAGCCGCGAATATTACGCTCTATTACGATCGACACCGGACATCGAAAACCCCTGATTGGATCGATCTTTTCTCAAAACTTTATTCATTTATTTGATATTATGCACATCTAATCGATCATTTTTCTCTATTCGAATTCAAATCATTCTATTTCCTGATAATAAAAACAGTTGCTCACTAACTCGGTAGGTATTTATTAAAATTTCATGTATAAGCTTTTTATTCTTCCTTTTACCTATCTTATCTTTTCCACATTTTGAATTTACATATATTTCAATTAAATGTCAAATTTATAATTGAAACGTTTAAAATTTATAACTAATGTTAGTACGATGAGTACATATTTAAATATAACGCAATAAGTGATATAGATACAACGTATTAAAATATCAGAATTTAAATACTTAATAACAAGTAATGTTTTTAGAAAAATGGTGGTAAAAGAAGGATAATAGCTACTCGTAAAATTATTATATATATTACATAATTATATAGTATTAGTTTACGATACCATTTATATTCTTCTCTTGCGCCTGCACCGTCGTATATTAACTTAACTTGGTAAAACAGTTTTTACGAATTGGTACACGTATTTTTATTAAGAGTTTAAAATTTCTTCTATATATAAATTAGTTATGCGTAATATTTTGATCCTCCATACAATTATTGAACACGCCTTAAATAATAACGCTAGGAACTTTGTGAACCTATCAAATCGAATATCAAGTTGATCATCCTTCCATCCGTTGAGCACGCTCGACATCCCTCTAGGGAAAATGGCTGTCTAAGCCAGGAGAGGAGAATGTGTCCCCGCCACTGAGTATGATACCTCGAATAATATTTTTTCATTTCACTTTCTGCAATTTTGCACTTACCTTAAAGAAAAAGGTGAATATCGTAAGGTACATAAAAAAACAGCGAGATTATACAAATGTTGATGCAATATAAAAATGAAACTTGTAATATTACCTAAAGAATTTACAATTCATATAACCACCATTAATACACAACCTTTAAACAATAAATAAATTGACTTAAAAATCGTAAGTTTCATGCACAATTCGGTATAAAATTATATTTCACTGACTGTGATTTAATTGCTAGGACTTTGTATTATTACGAATTATAAAATGAATTTACGAGAACCAAAGAGAAAACGACGCGTCAAATTAAGAGAACAGTCACCCTTTCCAATTATAATAGGTAATAAAGATGAATGGGCAACTTACACTGCTCATCTTACAGAATTAGGATCATGTATAATTGAACCAAATGAAATTGTTGCAATACATTCCATGGTAATTATCATCCATAATTATCACTTATGTTTTGTTTATGCCAAACTGTATATTTAATATAATTTGTAATTTGTTTAGGGTTTTTTTGGTAAAGGTTCCTTATCTCGTGGTTTTCCTTCATTTGGTAAAGCAAGATCTGGAGCACCTCCTATTGTTAGAAATAGACAATGGATTCGAAGAGAAGAATGGTTAAGACAACTTAATGAAATAAGTATGGAACCTAATAACAGTAAACAAACAAGCCTAGAAGAAGAGTATGAATTTATTCATTCTGAAAATATTGATAAACGTGATGATAAATTTACAAATAGCCCAAGGAAGGAAAGTACACCAGATATAATTGAAATAGATGTAGATCCTGTTTCTTGTAATAAAAATGAAGAAACTAGTAAACAAACTGATAAAAAGATACAAGTAAGTCATTCAGATGTCAGTTCTGTAAAAGATGATATGTTGAATATTATAAGTAAAAATATGAATGAACAGTGCACTGATAATAATGAAGAATACGTAGAAGATGAAGAAAAGAGAGAGCCTTACTGCTTTGAAGATTTTAATTTTAAGAAAAATACTGTATGTTTTGTTAACAATGATGCAAATATTCAAAATGAATTACTTGTCCTGCCAGACAGTGATTCAGAGACTGAGAATTATTTAAAAGAAATAACACCTAAGATTAAACATGAAAGTTTTCCAGTTCAAGAAACCCTTCATCTCACATTTGAAGAAACATTTTTTCTTTTGTATGGCTTGGGTTGTTTAAACCTAATAGACTTTGATGGTAATTTATTAGATATTGATAGCGCTTGGCATTTTTTCTGTAAAGCTGATAAAAATTTTGTACAAAAATATGTTGTTTATCATTATTTTCGAAGTAAAGGATGGGTAGTAAAACCAGGACTTAAATATGGTGGAGACTTCTGTTAGTACTTTCTTCTTCTTTATTATCAACTTTATTTATTGATACTAATATAGTTTTTAATATTTTAGTGTTATATAAACAAGGTCCACCATTCTATCATGCATCTTACATTGTATTAGTGGATGATTTAGATGGTGACACCCTAATTAGAAATCAAAGTAAATCCATGCATAAATTAACATGGAATAATTTACTAGGATTAGAAAGATTATCAGAGACTGCTGCCAAGGTAATGTATATCAGTTTATTTATATTAATCATTAAATCTTTTATTTTTATCTATAACAATTTTCATTGTACATATTTTATATATAGGAAATATTATTTGCACAAGTTTTATGGCCATCTTCAACTTCTGAAACATCTACCTCATTTAATGTAGACATACTGTCAGAATTTTCTGTAAGAGAAGTATTATGGAGAAGATGGAATCCTAAACATATTAAAGATACAGAAGAGGAAGATGATGATTCATCTTAATTTTGTGCTAAATAGTTTATTACATTTGTATGTAAATGAGCGTATATACATTGAAGATTATTATATTTCTATATGATTACATAGATTGTTATTTTCTTTCATTTAATGTAGAAAAATTGACATTTTTATTAAAGAAAGACTGATACTACAGATACATATATTTACATTTTTTATAAGTTATAAACGCATGAATTACCTTTAACTTAGCTTGATGATACAGCTCTTTTTCTTTTTGATGATTTAGGTATACCGGTTCTTCTATATTCACTTCTTTCTTCTAAATATGCTTGTGTACATTCATTTTTAAACTGTGGATCTTTATACCATAATTCTAAACATGATATTAATGCATTGTTTAATTCCTTGCATCTAAATACCATCAAAAAATTAGAATCTTTACAACATTTGGCAAACTCTGTAAATCAAATGTATAAAAAATGATACACGTGTTAATCTTTTGAACATCATACGGCTCGGTCGCATTGCTTTCGTTTCATATCGAAAAGTGACGACGTATTGTTAATGATACACTATTAAATACGAATATTTTTACAAACTGACTGATTAAAATGTTAGAGAATTGTCAAAATGGTAAGTAATCATCGATTGTGATACTTGACGTTTTGAATATGGAACAAAAGTGTGATTGCCCGTAGCGAATATAGTATGGTACTTTTAAAAATTACTATTACCTTGAACTTCTTTGACACATTTTTCTTCTTTTGCTCTATCTCTCATTTTTTGTGGTATGAGTACATCTTTCTCAATTTTTCTTAAACGTTTGTCATCGGGGTCACCTAAAAAATCCACTCTTATCAGATATACCATTACTGATATCGATGCGGCATTATTTGATATGAGAATAACGATATTTAAAAATTTCAAGTATTTCAATTAGTAGGCAAAAATATTACTTAATTTAACTATATCAATACATTACATAGAAAATGTATCAATTTTAATAAAGTTTATTCTAGAAAATAATAATGGACTAAACATAACCTCACATTATGATAATGTAGTTGAAACAAGTTTTTATTATAAAATGATTACTATCAATTTTACGTTTTTAATCAATTATTAACTGTAGCAACTTAAAACTTACCTAGACCATGTGGTCCAGCTTTATAATTTTGTGCAAAAATCGAACGTCGTTGTTCACTCATCGTTGTTGTCTTTTCAATACAACCTCATCCATCGAAAATGTTATGTAGTTGGTAGTCTCTCCAACTCCGCTGCGCTCGTGATTGTGCACATTTGAGAGTTGTCAGTACATCGCTTGCATAAAAGGAAATATTTTATACAAACAATAACTGATAAATTATAGTATTTTTTATCGGTGGTTGAATTAAATAAGTAAGTAAATAAATTTCATTCCTTAAATGACTTATAATGATATTATATTTTTCCTTTAGTGTCTTTCACAAATTTAACCTCATCAAAAATTGTGTATGTACTGTGACAAAACAAGTATAAACGTTAGTAATAAACATCTTTCATGCTGTTAAATCATAATTATTTTCAGAGTTTTTAAGTTATAAAAATCAAGAATGGACCGATTATTGAGATTAGGAGGTGCTATGCCAGGTCTCAGTCAAGGACCTCCACCTTCAGATGCTCCAGTTGTTGACACTGCAGAACAGGTAAAGTTTATTTAATTTTAAGTCTATGTTTCGTTATAAAAGAGATCATTTTTTATCACTTATAATTCACTTAGTAAAATATTTATTAATAAATTGTTTATTATTATTAGGTATACATATCATCATTAGCACTTCTAAAGATGCTTAAACATGGACGTGCTGGTGTACCTATGGAAGTAATGGGTTTAATGCTTGGAGAATTTGTTGATGATTATACTGTTCGTGTTATTGATGTATTTGCTATGCCTCAAACAGGAACAGTAAGCATGGAAACTTTTCATTATTTAATTCTAATATTTAATTTAATAACATTATATTATTTTTGTTTTTTTAGGGAGTTAGTGTAGAAGCAGTTGATCCAGTGTTTCAAGCAAAAATGTTAGATATGCTTAAACAAACTGGTCGGCCCGAAATGGTGGTAGGATGGTACCACTCCCATCCAGGATTTGGTTGTTGGCTTTCTGGTGTAGATATTAATACGCAACAGTCATTTGAGGCCCTTAGTGAAAGAGCAGTGGCTGTTGTTATTGATCCTATACAATCAGTGAAAGGCAAAGTTGTAATTGATGCATTTAGATTAATTAATCCGAACATGATGGTAAAGAAACAATGATATATACAAGTTATTGTTTGTATCTACAGAAAAGAAGTAAATATCTGTAAAATTACAGGTTTTGGGACAAGAACCACGTCAGACTACATCCAACCTAGGTCATCTACAAAAACCATCTGTTCAAGCATTAATTCATGGCTTAAATCGTCATTATTATAGCATTAGTATTAACTACCGTAAAAATGAATTAGAACAGAAAATGCTATTAAATTTACATAAGAAAACATGGATGGATGGTCTTACACTCGCTGAATATTCAGAACACAGTAGACTTAATGAAAATATTGTATCTGAAATGCTTGAACTTGCCAAGAATTATAACAAGGTAGAGCACTGAAATGCAATATTGAATATTTTTTAAAATCTGAATTGCAGATGAAATATACTAACTCGAAAATTTACTCTTTTAGGCACTGGAAGATGAAGAAAAAATGACACCTGAACAATTAGCTATAAAAAATGTTGGCAAACAAGATCCAAAACGGCATTTGGAAGAAAAGGTGGACACCCTTATGGCCACAAATATCGTTCAATGTCTGGGAGCTATGCTTGATACAGTTGTATTTAAATAACTATTTCTTAAAACATAATTTGCAATATATTACTGAAAAAATATACTACATCTTTTTAAAATAGGTGTGTTTATAATCTGTACCCAAAAAAGTATATATAATATACGTAAACTTTTTATTCATTTATACCATTTTTAAAGTTATTAAAAATTAATTAATTTGAAGGATGCTTACAATACATACAGACTCCTCGTAAGTGACTCCGTGAAAGCTAACTCAAGTATATACTTACTTATGTCTTCGAACGTCAATAAGGTAAGAGGATATACTCTTTTTTTCGGTTGCAGCGCCATCTATGCAAAAACAGCGCGTATTACCGACTTATCGACCATTTCTTCGGCAATCGATAAGTTGCCCCGTAGTTTCCAATACTTTTCGATAGACGGCGCAAGTGTTACCCTGTTTTGAAAAATCGATCGGTCTGCTTATCGAAACCTCTGCATGTCATAGACCTTGGATGCTTCTGCTTGTCGTAACATCGCTCGGCTCTTGCGGACAATATTCAAGGACCCCCCTGAAGTAATGCTGTGTGGCAATTCCGGGCGGGGGGGGTTCCTCAGTATCCCCATCGACTGCGTAACGCGAGGTAGGGTTTTTAGTGGGTATACTGGCAATAGGAGCCTCACACTGCCGGGCAACTAACATATCGCCCGGCGTGCGCAAAGTATTTTCCCTTCTCGTTAAACAAAAAAGGAAAACTCGATCGATAACTCGTCGAATAGTTTGCGCCGTTTTTGTATAGATGGCGCTACTGTCGACAACAAGAGCGTAACCTCCTACCTTTTCGACGTCCAACGACGGACTGACTGTGTAAGGGAGGAGACCAGTGATAAATATAGAGGATTGTTGGCGTACTAGCAAATGATGGTACATATGGTGAAGAGATGATCCATTAAGAATGATTAAAGTTATGAAAGTTAAATAACAGGATAATTGTAGAAATATATGAGCATAAAAGACTGTTGTTTGAATATTGTGAACTCAGTTCGTCGATGCCTTTGAAATATCGAAATTTTAAGTCGGATATTGCGCAAAGAACGCTGAGAACTTCAGGTGGCGCACGATTTGCTGTACATACTCCTGTACAAATAACCTTGTTACACCATCGCCCAAATGGTGAATTTACAACTTTACATAACAAATAAATCACGAGTGGTACAACAAATTAAATATATATTCACTTTTATGGATAATTTAAAAACCATAAAATTGCAAGATACATAATCTTATCTGTAGTCAATGAAAATAAGACTCAACAATACGCTATATTTCAATACAGTGTCGAAGCGAAAAGCACACATTTTATTTCTTAGTAACAATATCTGTACTAGAATTGTAATAGTGAAGTGTGAATAACACGATCAATTGTAACGCGTTTACACGCATTCACGAATACCGCTTGATTATCAGCAATGACAGGACCTAACTTAACATGAGGTGAAACTAGGTCCATAAGGCTTTAACTTTATATTACCTGTTAATATTTTGGAAAAGTGTTATATAATGGAAAGCCATGAGAATGAACAATATGTTTCATTTCCCCTTTCTGGGGTACATGATGGAATACAAGATAATATAATATCTCATGAAGAAATATGTGAACCTGTTGACGAGTGTGTCCTTCAAGAAGGACTTACTGAGGTATCTGTTACAGATGTCAATAGTGATATTACTGAGGCGCAGGTTGCTGTTGAAATCTTAACAGAACATTCAGATGAAGAAGATGAAAATCGTGTAGTATATCCTATATACATTAAACAAGAAGAGCAACAACAATATACATCTGGAGATGATGAATCTATGGCTGTGGAAGCTCTCAGACAACTTGGAGGAATGTATCCATGTTTTGAAGATAAAAAAGTATCTTGTCCTAATTGTGCAAATTTCTTCACACAAACTGAGATGGCAAAACATCAAATTACTTGCACTGCCGTTAAATTATCATGTATGACTTGTGGAGAAAGATTTGAAAGAAAGATGGATTTAAATAACCATATGGTTTGTCATCAAGTAGATCGTCCACATGCTTGTAGAACTTGTGGTAATTTGTTTCGTTCAAAAAGCAATTTAAGATATCATATGTTACAAGTACATCAAATAGAGAGACCTCATAAATGCACTATATGTGGAGCAGATTTTCAAAGACCTTCTAGTTTATCTAATCATATGAAAATTCATACATATGTTGCCGGACGTGCCATCATGCAATCACAGGGTAATGATGTATCACAGTCTGAAGAATCTTTCAGAAAGTGGCCTGAAAATATGGCGGAGTCTCAAAACAGTGAAGTACCATCTTCCTCTGTACAGACTGTACAAAATTATGATACAGTTCATTGGACAGTCCCATCTTACAATTTTCCCAACGAACAATCAGCAGTTAATGCAATATCAAATTCTCAAGAGAAAATAGATACTCTGCATGAATTTACTGTAATGCCAAATGGAGAAGTAACACAGTTTGAGTATTCGCAACAAAATAGTATAAATAGCCAAGTAAATCAACAATACAATCTCTCATTGAATTCATTTAATAATACTGATACAATGATAAAAGTTGAAACTATATCATATAACAGTGAAAACCGAAAAAATTATGTAGAAGTTGAAACAAATGGTACAAAGCAGCATACATGTAGACACTGTGGAATTAGTTTCCCTCGTGCAACAGCATTAGTATCTCATGAAAAAATTCATGTATCTAAAAATTGGAGCATGCCAATTGAATGTGAATATTGTGATAAACAATTTCAAGATGGTAACCATCTGGCAACTCATCAAACTACATGTGCAAAGAAGCTAATGCAAAATAATATAGAACAAGGTTCACCTAATAATAAATGGGGTAAACATGCATGTTCCGAATGTGGCAAAAAATTTACAACAAAACAAAAAATGTTCAGACATCAATGGATTCATAGAAAGAAAACACATTCCTGTGAAGTATGTGGATCTCAATTTGAAAAACAAAATCAATTAGACGAGCACAGACTATCGGCACATCCTGGTGATTCTCCATTTACTTGTACAGAATGTGGTAAAAGTTTCGTATCTCGTCAAGGACTATGGGAACATGGAAGAACACATGCTGGAAGCCCTGCACATTTTCACTGTGATACATGTTCTAAAACATTTTCATCTAGACAAGGATATTTGATACATCACCGAACTCATACCGGAGAAAGACCATACGGTTGTAAATTTTGTTGGAAAGCATTTAGAGACGGCGGAACTTTAAGAAAACACGAACGTATTCATACAGGAGAAAGACCCCATGTTTGTCCTTTGTGTTCAAGAGCATTTAATCAGAAAGTTGTTCTGAGAGAACATGTTAGATGGGTTCATGCAGCAGGAAAAAATGAAACCGAAGTAACTGGACCTCCTTTTCCTTGCCCTATATGCGGAGCTTTAAGTCAAGATCGGGACGAATTGTGTGCGCATATTGTTAAACATTCAGATCAAATGATAGCAGAAGCGAAAGCTAAAACAAACAATAATGCGCCAAAAATAAAACAAGTTAAAAAGAAAGCAAAAACGTCTGCAAGTACTAGTTTGGAAGAGAAAGAGGAAATCGGAAGTCGTATAATTACTAAAACAGAACAACACGAAGCACTTTTGTCTATCACAGACACAGATAAATCAGATAATCAGCAAATTTTAAATGATAAACAAAATAATACCTATCTTGTAGTTACCACAGAAAAAAATGATGACGATTACATTACAATATCAGAATTTAAAACTGAAAATACAGAATTATTAGCTGATGAAAAACAGGATGAAAACATACATGGAGAATCTTTAGATATGATTACAGTAGATAAGCAAAGTAATACAAATATAAAATTAGAAAGAAGTGCACTTCATTCTCCAACTGGTCATGATGAAATAACTACAATGCATTTAATACAAGCTTCAAAACAATCTAATACTTTGCATTTAATATCAAAACGAAATGAATCATTGCCTGTTTTGACACTACCAAATCCTCAGGGTCACGAAAATTTTTCCAGTCAAATTGCACAAATAAGTAACAGCGATGTACCCATGGATATAACTCATCATTCAATTAAACAGGATCAAGATGCAAAGGATCATAATGAAATTGGACAAGAATCATTAATAGCTGAAGGAACGTCCCATGCAGCTGTAATACAAGTTGTACAGTATCATCAAGAAGAAAGTGATGATGAAGAGGAATTAGTTTGTGGTATTTGTGGAGAAGATTTTAATGATAAAAATGTGTTAATGGAACACGTAAAAATTCATATATAATTATTATTAGTTTATTACTATCCAAGTTTGTGATATTATTATGCTATTACTGTGGCTATGTAAGAATTAATGAATTCGAACATTTATATTCTTGGAACAAAAAATATTAAATGTAAATACTTATGTATTAGTTTTCAGTAGTAATAGCAGTAAAGCACCAATTTTCTATGTCTCTTAAAAACGCACTGATATTAAAACAAAACAGGGAATTTTAATTATATTTGTACATTTTGAATTCATTCACTTTCGGTTCTCTCAAATGCTTTTGCACATTTAGATCCTACACTATATACATAGTAAAATTATGTAAATGTATTAAAATAAAATTATAGATAAAGGTTTATATATTATGTAAAGCACATTACTGGTTGTCATAAAGGAACAAGAAACATATCGTAAACAATTATTATTAATTCAACTTTACGAATTGTTTAATCTTTTAAATTTTTAACGATTTACGGTACATAAATTATGGCTAAGCTAAAACGGCATTTAAAATGTAGAATATGAGATGTAATAAGGAAATAAAGTGCATTTTATTTTCTACATTTATCTTTTATTTTACATCATATTAAAATATACTTTTCGTTAAAATAATTGTAATTTGAATCTTGATATTTTGTATTTCACGCTCTTTTATAAAGTGAAACAGCGGAACGATCACGTATTAATGCCGGGAGTAAATACAAGTTGACGTAATTTTGTGAAATAAAGAGTCATTATAATTGTATTTTGTAATTACTATTGTATGATGTGTTATATTATTTCAACAAATACCTACATCTGAAACCTCAATGAACAGCTGCTAAAAATGTAAGTACTAAATAAATGAAAAACAATAACAAAAGTATATCTTACATAGACGTGATTTGAATCTTATAAACGTGCGACGTTATTTATAAAAATTTTCTATATTATATGATAAAAAGCACAAGATTTTTTTGTTGGATGTAACCATTATGATCCCTTATATATATTTTTTTTAAATTATACTTTGAATTAAATACTAACCTGTACTTGGCATTCAACATGTTCCTCCCCCTCTTGTTGTTAGTATAGGAAAGTATTCAAGCAATGTTTACGAAGCTCTATATTTTAAGCTAAGTGTAAAACAAAGAAAATGAATAAAAGTATATTACAATTATACATAAATCGTTATATTTAAAGCATATTAAATTAAGTGAGAACAATCAAACTTTAAGACAAAATTTTTAACCTCAAACATACAGTGTTCTTTATTTCGTGCTGAAGAGGTTATGCCGACATTGTTACGTTTTAAGAAACAGATGATTCAAAGATAAATAATACCAAAGTAAAGAAACTTGTTTAAAGTTTGTAAAAAAAAAAAAACGAGTAAACATGCCTACTTGGAATCAAATACAAGCTCAGCTACGAAATCCAAATAATCCGGTGGTTTTCTTCGACGTGTCTGTGGGTACAACAGAAATTGGACGAATGATTTTTGAACTCTTCGAGGATGTTTGTCCAAAGACGTCAGAAAATTTTCGACAATTCTGTACTGGAGAATATAGAAAGGACGGTGTACCTTTGGGTTTCAAAGGTGCCATTTTCCATAGAGTCATCAAAGATTTCATGATCCAGGGTGGTGACTTCGTAAACGGCGATGGTACTGGAGTTATAAGTATCTATGGTGGTGGAACCTTTCCAGATGAAAATTTTACATTAAAACACGACTCACCTGGATTATTATCCATGGCAAACAGTGGTAAAGACACTAACGGGTGCCAATTCTTTATTACTTGTGCCAAGTGTAATTTCTTGGATGGTAAACACGTCGTTTTTGGAAGAGTTATCGATGGACTTCTGGTTATGAGAAAAGTGGAGAACGTTCCAACAGGGCCGAACAATAAACCAAAAATTCCTGTGACAATATCTCAATGCGGACAAATGTAATAGCTAAATAATTGTAATTTATATATTTTTATAAGGAATTATGTAAAATACATAATAAAAGTTACACTATATTTCTCTTAAGTAAATGCAGTTTCAATCAAACACCTTTTCTTACTTTTGTATAAAAAAAAATAGCAAAATATTCTGAGTCAATGAAGCATAATTATGTATTAAATCTGTAACTAATTATGCTTCTGATTACTTCTTTACCCTAAGGCTGTCTATTATATCCTACATTGCCCCTGGGCATTTTATAATTTCTCATTATTAGAAATTGCCTATCGGGACCTGCCTGTTACTATTTAATTTCTGTTTAATTAGCTAGTTGATAGCTTGAAATGAAAATGAAAGTAATTATCGCTTCACGAACTTCAATTTTATTACGTTAAATTTACATATGAAATAAATATTTACTGTACAATTTATATTGTATCGTGTTGGATAGAAATTCAAACGCGTTTTGTATCTATCTTCTCGGAAATGAAACATTCATGGTAAATAAATACGTGTGATATATTTCTACGATTGGTGTCGATCAAGGAAAAAAAAAGAATTCCACCCATGAATTTTAGGTCTTTTACTTCGTATCTACTTGCGGTACTCTAATCGAAAACGTATCATCTATTCGTACACAGTTCGTTCAATTAAATAATTCAATATCCTAAGATGTAATCGATGTACTTAATAGTGAAGTCTTATTTTTGTATAGCTACATATTCATTTTTAATATTCTCTGAATTGTTACACGGATCGATAAATTGTTTATACATTTACTCTACGTATAATTAGTTTCCTCGTAATCCCAAAATCCGATACGAAATTACAGTAAGAAGCATCTCTGAAAATCAATGAATCTTATGCATTCACTGTGTTGTTTCTTCGATTATAGTGTATGTATATAAAATTTCATACAACTTCTAACATAAGCGGGACGATCGTATTCGTCAGCACGTTATAATCTCTTGCTTTGATTGATTGCGGAATAAATAAGAAAATAAATTCCATGTTGAACTTACGTTGCATAACAATCGTGCGTGTAAAGGCAAACTCCCAAACGATTTGCCAACTTCCCGAAGAAGTTCATCGTCGAACATCTTCAAGACTTCTGTCTGCCTCGCCGCAAAGTAATGTCCTACATCAAAGACGTTCAACAAAGTTCTCAATCTGTATTTAAATAAAATATTCCCTATAAAAACCGTCACTTATATTCGCGTGGCTGCGACATTCCAAACACAAGAACAACGGCCGATTGCATAAATCACGAATCATCCGGGTATCATCAACGGGATCGTCACGACCTGAAACAACGATCTGATTACACCGATCATCATCGTCAGCAGCTCACGGCAACGATAGCAGCTGGTCCCTCTTCTTGGGCACCGTGAGCTGAGGTGCGGTCTACCTGCTGTTGCAGAAAACGTCTTCTTCAATGGTGTCGACCTGAGAGTTATCATCCACCACCATGATGGGCGTAGCGCCATCGTGAAGGCTCGACTTTGAGATGGATCTTTTGTAAACGTCCCTGGTCACGCTCCTGGTGAAGCTGAATTTCCGCACCAGCTTCTTGTCCAAAGCAGCAGGACTCTTCGGTCCCTTCGCCCTGAACTCGTCCTCGGTGCCCTCGTAATGAGCCAGCATCACCTCCGTAGCGTGTTCCTCGATCACGTCCACCGCGTAATCGATGTCATCGTCAGTGGCATTTTCTTTGACCACACAGAATCTGAGGATGTACTTGCCCATCACCCTGGCAGGTATCATGTGAAGTCTACCGGAAGCATTGATATTCGCAAGCAATTCTTGATTTATCTCGTCGCTCTCCTTCAGTCTGAAACAGACCAGACCTGCCCTGACATCGTTGGTGATCTCGAACCTCTTGTCCCTTCTCATCAGTGTCTCGAAACGTCTGGCCAGTCTGATATGGTTTCTTATGTACTTCTGCAGTCCAGTGATCCCGTATGATCTTAAGACGAACCATAGCTTCAGTGCCCTGAATCTTCTGCTCAACGGGATTCCCCAATGACGGTAATCGATGGACTCTCCAGACCTGGCGTGTTGCAGATACAACGGATCAACGACCAAAGCTGACGTTAGCTTGACTCGGTCCCGCACCCACATGCAGGAACAATCGAAGTTAACCAGCAGCCACTTGTTGGGGTTCGTGTTGAACGAGTCCGCGTGCTCGATGCCAGCCATGAACGGTCTCATTTCCGGACAGATAAAGGCGCTTCCAGCGTAAGCTCCATCCACGTGTAGCCATATATTAGGGTAAAGCTTGCACACCGGTCCGATTTCGACGAGATTGTCGAATGCGCACGATCCTGTTGTGCCGAGGGTGGTCGTGACGAAGAACGGTACCAACCCGTTGGCCACGTCCTTTCTGATCGCGGATTCAAGACGCTTACCTCGTAGGGAACCCTTCTCGTCCGGCTCTAGAACCCGAAGCTTCACCAGACAGATCATCGCTGCCTTTTCTGCACAGGAATGAGCTTCCGTCGAACAATAGGCTACCAATCGTGGCAGAAAGGCCGAGTCCTCGGTGTTCGGGTCTTGTTCCTTCAGCGTTCTGATCGCTTGGGTACGCGCCGCCAGCATCGTGACCAGAATACACTCGGAGGCGGACCCTTGTATCACTCCACCGCCCTTCGAGCTTTTATGCTCGGCCAGGAACTCCGCTGGAAGGTCCAACGCTTTCGCGTACCAGTCGAGAACGATCGTTTCCAGTTCCGTGCAGGCCGGGCTGGCCGCCCAAGAGAACCCTATGCAGCCGATTGCGTCGGACAGCATGTCCCCCAGGATCGAGGGAAACGAGTTCCCTGCCGGGAAATACGCGTGAAACCGTGGATGCTGCCAGTGGGTGATCTGAAAAAAAAAACATCAATCATCCCTTTGGCGATCTTGTCGTTCGTTAAACCAGGTTCAACCCTTCATGGGTTGATTCACAGAATAATTGATAATCAACTTGGTTGTAGATTGAAAACTAACTGTATGTACACATTGTCGCAACGACTCTACGGTATTGTGTAAATAAATCCAATCGTATTTATTAATCGAGTCTTCATATTTTGCAAACATCAATGGAATACGATAAATAAGGAAAAATAAAAAATACCAGAAACTTCAATGCCGTGAAAAAAATTAAGAAACGAATCTGATTTTCTGTCAATTATACAAGTATTTATATATTTATCGTTAATATATTGAAAGAAGAATATGCAGCAAAGAGGATGGTTGTACGATGGCGGAACGTGTCGGTTCATGGTCGACTAAGTTTTTTACTATTTTTTCGTATTCGCTAATATTATTAACATCGAAAGAGGTCGTAATCGATGAACACGAGGATCGATAATCGAGTCGACTCACTCACCCCGGGCATTATTTTGCAGTCGACGTCCCTCATAATCGCATCCCATGACTCCCCTTTAGCCGGAGCTTCCTTAGGGAGAAGTGGCCTAAGATACCCTGGATCCACGTTCGCGGTAACCCTTTTTCCTTCCAAGGTACGAAGGTACTCGCAAATGTACTCGATCATCTCCTTGCCGCGTACTTGAAACTCATCGATGTTCATGATAATTGCCGGCTGAAATGCAGGTATTCTCGTAGCTAATTCGTGCAATGAATGTCGTGTTTGATTAAGCACGTTCTCGGCGACAGCATGTACGTGATTGTGACATTATTTTCAGCGTCCTTTTATCGAGGATAAAATAAACGTCATTCGATGAGCAACGAAATATCTTAGATGAAATACCTTTTGTTCTTTGCGTTCTCTGACGAATGACACACTTTTTTAAGAAGAGCGCGTTTTCGATGGATTCAAATAATTTCACTCACTTCTCCTTTCGATTTTCTCTATTACCGGATGGAGGAACTTTTGACGTTTGTTATTCGATCGAATAACTGGATTATATATCGAAGAAGGTAATTATTTGAACGCGGCTCGATCGCGGAGAGAAACACGTAACAAGTTTGTTCCACGTTGGAGCTGAGACTGGTAGCACCTGCCAAAGCGCCGGTCAGTTTTATGCGCACCTCCTCTTCGTACATCCCTGCTTCGGCCAGATAAAATTAAGGCGGAGCTTCGGCAATCGTGTACAATTTTCATTTACCTGGATCCTTGTAATTTAGCGATCACCAAGTCCCTCGTTACGCTCGTTTACAGGAAATAGACATCGAAAGGGATTACAGTGTCCCCCTTAAAAATTCCTTCAATAATTTACAAGTTTCTGAAAATTTTCATTAAATTCATTTAACGACCGGTGCCAGATCTTCGTAATTTGAATCTTTGGATTTTTCAACAATTCTTATAACTAATTATATTGATTACATTGATCACAAAGTAATTCCAACGCAGTGAAATATGACTGTAAATAATGAATCGTTAATTAAAATTAATTTTCAACTCTCCAAGAGGAGGGGTTTAGTTCGAATTTCCAAAAATTTCTGGGAAGGGTGGTCGGTATCAATGGTGATGTATCATGGGGTCGGTGGTTGAATAAGCGGCAACGTGTTGTCGATGATGCACAAGGGGTAAACTCACCCCCTCCTACCCCATTTATAAATAGACGTTTACTCTTCACATACATTTACATCACTCCGTAGAAGCGGTGACAGGTCACCGCTCAATCTTTGTAATACATACACACATATATGGAGAACCGACGATCACCATATTTTCTCTCTGATCGCCACCTTCACGCATGATCTGTTCGTGTCCGACGTTTTCGAATTGGATTCTCGATCGGGGATGCTTGGACCATTGCCACGTTCAAATTAATTAATCCCATCATCGATTCTTCCCTACCCTTTCCCATCGATACCTGTAAACTGGCTCGTTAAATGGCTATTCTGATTTGCAAGTAAAGAAAAAGTACCTATTTCCCTTTTTCTCTTTTTCATCAGTCAGAGAAATTTAAAGTGGCATCGATTGATAATCTAAGGGGGTTGAAATTTTAGAATTCTCAATATTTCCTAAAAAGAAAAAGGCAAATACTTTTGAGTGATAGTATATTATTAGGAAGAAATTACATTGTATTAACATTGATCGCATACAAGACAAATGAACTACCTTTCATTCACATTTCGTTACACCTTATCTAGCTCTATAATCGATCATTCATATTCGATGGAATAATAGCTTGTTCAAGATTTCAGAATGTTGCATATATCGTAACGATTAGGCGATCTTCTAATTACTTTGAGCAGAGAGTCTAAAGAGATGCAGACAAGTGTTTCATAACAACGACATACTTTTCCTCGATCATTAGCTTTCATTCTACAACATTTATTTCGGCCTCCATTGATTCGAAATTTCTTTGAATCAAGGAGAGGCATTGTCTCGTTATCGGTCGCGTTTAATTAAGAACATTCTAACGATTATCAACATTCCTCTTCCCACGTAAACCGATTATGATTCATTGTTTTTCGTTTGACGTGACATCTTGCCACCGAGAAATCCACCGATCGCGTATTCATTCGAGCCACACGTGACAGTTTCGTGTTTCGATTGAAATAGAATAGAGTAGTCGAAGAATGTAGAAAAATATGATAAACCGAACAGTCCAGGTGCATCGGTGTCACCCTTGTGACCTCAACCTTTTCGATCGCGTTACGAACACGGCTCTTTTATGACCTTTTTTCACTATTCACGTGACTCGAGTTTCCGTTTCGTCTTCTTTTTGCCGTTCTAATCCACGAGAAAAGGGAAAGGTGACAGAAACGATCATAATTTGAATAACGATGAATATCTGGAACCGCGGTTAAAAAAGGTACAATATTTCTAAGAAAATGGTAAAATAAATAATTGTGTTACTTTCGGGAAATAATTCAGCAATGTGCTCCTCGCTGAAATAAATCTGAAATAAATCATTGATCGATTTCGAGGAACCTCTTCAGTGGGTTTTTAAAACACTTCGGCAGTGTCCGAATGATCGTATTAATCTCAGCGATGCACCTGGGAGAAACATTGGTAAAAGATCGAAGAATGTTTTACGTTCTACCATTTGGCGATCTTCCGCGCGATGGGGAAACGGATGGCGATGGTTCCGGGCTGCAGCCGTTGCTGCTACCGCGGCGACTTCCGGTACCACTTGCCTTCAGGCGCACCATCGTGTCCAAATGACGGAATCTAGAAGCGTATCAGGTTTATTTAATAATTCTAAATACTAAGTGCTTCTAGCTTGACTTCGTTCAAGTCCCTTAAAAAACATCTTCTCCCTATTATTTATCGTGCGGTTGCTTCTTAAAATATCCTGATAAAAAAGAATGGAAGTGGAAGGAGGACACGTAAACAGCTTCTGTAGGTAGGCATCAAAGGAAAAATGAGATAAGATGATCATTTATTTCCCTACGCGCGTGATAAACAGAAGGGTACTGAGAGATGTGGGAAAATAAAGGAAGAAGATTATTTTGAAAAATATTTCGCAAATACCTGAGGGACAGTTCGCTGGTATCAGCAGCGTCCCTTGCTTGCATCAGATAGGCCAGCGGCCAGGAGATCCACGAACGTCTGAAAGTAGGCATCAATCGTTAGATCGGTGACTTAACTAAATATTCAGTAGTATCGAATCTTACGTGGTAGGATGAGGATTCGATCCGATACCACCGATGGTCGCCTGTGTGTCCAACTTCGGCCCCGTCCTATTCGGGGTTTTCGTGAATCCCGGTTGAATAGCAGGATCAGAGACCATACGGACGAAGAAGGACCTCCTTTGCTCCAACGTGGCTTTCCTTTTCTTCTCGCGGATATCTGCCAGTTCATCCATAACATCCTATTCAAGATGAAAAACATACGTGATTACTTAAAATGATACGGACCCTTCAACGGAGAAGACGAATCGATTTTATCCACCTTGGACTCCGATAATTCGGCCAAGTAATCCGTGATGATGCTCCACGCGATGTCTGGTGTATCGGAAACAGAGATTGAGAAAGACGAAGAGACGTAGAAATATCGTTATCGAAAATGATGTTATTTACCAACGTCAGAAGCAGTGGCATTCGGTGCGGCGAGCGCAAAACGAATCGTAAAGCGTTGATTCACTCTCGCCGGGACCATGTGCAATTTCCCGGAATCATTGATGGCGCTCAGCAATTTTTGGTTCAGTTTATCGGATCCTTTGGCTCGAAAACACACCAGACCCAACTGAAATTATTCAAGATAGAAATATGTATGGTTTGGTAAGACAAACGCTTCCTCCTCGTCCATTGTTTGTCGCAAGCGCAAGGAGGAAATAACTCTTTCCTGCCCGAGAAATGACCCAGTTAACGGGATACACGTGAACGCGAATCAACACGTACCACAACCTCGTTACAAAGTTCGAATCTCGCGTCTTTCCTCACTAATGCCTCGAATCTCTTCGCCAATTGTACATGGTTTCGTATGTAGGTCTGTAAACCGGATATCCCGTAACTCCTCATGACGAACCATAGCTTCAGGGAACGAAATCGTCGACTCAATGGTATACTCCAATGTCTGTGAACGTCAATATTCGAAACGTAGAAATTGTAACGTAATTTCATGACATAAAAGTATTGCAAAACACCGCTTATGGTATATGAAATTAAAGCATGAAGTTTAATAAAAATAAGTAGAAAAAGGTCGAATTGAAAAGAGGCAAGGTATACCTATAATCAATGGCTGTATCCGCATGAGTGTGCTGAAGATAAAGTGGATCCACAACGAGTGCACCGGTCAGTTTGAATCTATCTCGGACCCATAAACAAGAACAATCGAAGTTTGTTAATAAAAATTTGTTGGTATTAGTGTTGAAGGAATCGGCGTATTCGACCCCAGCCATCAGATATTTCAGTTCTGGACAGATGAAAGCGTTGCCTGCGTATGCTGCGTCCACGTGCAGCCATACCTGTAGAAAAGGAAAATTTTGATATTTCTGAATAATAATAGAACAATCCGAATCTTATTTATCTTACGCCTGGATATTTTTTACAAAGTGGCCCTATCTCCTTGAGATTGTCGAAGGAACAGCAAGCGGTCGTGCCCAGGGTGGTGGAGACGAAGAAAGGGATGTAACCCTCCGCGGTGTCAGCCTCGAATGCCTAATGAAAATATCAATAATAGCGAGGAAATGAAATATCGAGGAATAATATAGCGGGAAATGGGGTGAATAAAAATAAGAGGATACCTGACGCAACGTTTCTCCGCGAAGCACACTTTTCTCGTCTGGTTCCAATATTCGCAGCTTCACGAAACAGATCATCGCGTCTTTCTCGACGCAGCTGTGACTTTCGCGACTGCAATAAGCCATTAGCTTTCCAAGAAGCGCAGTTTCGTCCAAATGTGCATGAGCGGGTGACTCCTTCAGTCTGGCGATCGCTTCTGCCCTTGCTGCAAGCATGCATACCAAAACACATTCCGAGGCTGAACCCTGAAATTTCATTAATAAGACCTTTAATTTTGTTCATTTTATTTTTTTCACATTCATAATATTTACCTGTATCACACCTCCGCCTTTGCTAACCGGGTTAAAATAAAGGAAGTCCGTTGGTAAACCAATGGCTTTACCTGAAATTCATTTTTGTATCATTCTCAATTTATCATTTCTATTCATCCTTTATTTAATTACAACAGCTTGCAATCTTTATCACTGTAATATTAATCGTTTAACAAATATTTGATAAAACAATATTGAATTACCGAACCAATCGCAGACTATCGTCTCAAGCTCCGTGCAGGCCGGGCTAGCCGCCTAGAACAAATAAAACGACGAAATACAAAGATGATCGGGTAAACAATGGCCTGGATCAATCCGTCAAACTTGACCCACGTTCAGACCCTAATTTGAACGGGAAAGATCGAGTCGTTCGACTCACCCATGAAAATCCGATACAGCCTATTGCATCCGCCAACATGTCACCGAGAATGGATGGGAATGAATTACCGGCTGGAAAATACGCGTGAAATCGTGGATGTTGCCAATGAGTGATCTGCAAAAAATCATTTCTTTCCAATTTCTATCGCGGACGGAATTATTTCGTAGATGATTATACAATATTTCCTTACTCCGGGCATGATTTTCGACTCGACGTCTCTCATGATGTCCTCCCAAGATTCAGCTTGGTGCGGTGCTTCCGGAGGAAGGAGGGGTCGCAAATATCCAGGACCAACGTCCGGCGTTACTCGCCGATTGTGGATATTACTCATGAACTCGCATATGTACTCCACCATCTCCTTGCCACGCACACGAAACTCTTGGATGTCCATGACGATCCTTTTTCTCTTTCTGAAATAGTTGCAATGGTAAGAATTTTAATCCTTCAATGGACAACCAAATGTCAATTGAAGTTTTAATATCTACAATACAATGTTTATTTTGAAATTCGATTATTGCCACTGGGATAAAATTGGCAAAGAGATAATTATAAATGGCTAATTATCAAGTGCCATTCGCACAACCACTATAAAATTAACACCAAGCCCACCACCGACGATCACAGACACTACTCTTTCGATCATTCCCATGGATGAACGAATAAATTAGAGAATTCTGTTTAATTTCACTTGGAGAAAAATGGCCACGCGGAGGAGTCGTCCTACCTGTTGCTAGCAAGGAAGTCCAATCGGTCTACGTTGGATGAGCCACGACCGAACAATCCCGAGTTTCTCAAACCAGCACGGATATATCGAGGATCCAGCCTCTGAAGATTCTTCGTGTCCTGCGCAAACGCGTCCTTCCGCGGGATCTTCGTGGCGAATCCTTGAAAGAACGAGGAGAGACTGATCTATGTACGCCTCTGGATAATTTCCATCAAGGGGACAGTTGATGCGAGGAACCTTTGTCTCGCTCCTCTTCGTATATTCATCTTCGCTATTCCCGAATATCCGTAACGATTCTCTTCGTTAACCTTTCCTGTTCGATCAATGACTCCGATAAGATTTCGATGCTAAATTAGACAGAGGTTTATTGAAAGCGACACGTGTCACTGATAGGATAATACAAAGGGACAGGTGTCTTCGAGTGAGAATAAAATCTTGATGTTTACAGAAAACGAGCCAATTCCTTTCGTTCATCTCTCTCTCTCTCTCTCTCTTTTTATCTTTGTTCTATCAATTTCTAACGAGCATCGTTATCAGACGTTTCTTCAGGTTCGTAACAGATGAAAAGTTTGCGACGAGGAATTCTCATTTCGTAGGCTGATCGAGGTGGGGAAATATTTATACAGATTTCTGGAACAGAGAAGGACTATTTCTTCGTTGAAAGAAGGTAGAAAACTCGTCGAAGCGGAGTTCTTCTTCGTTCATTCGCGATGAAATCGGCGAACAGCTTCGCCATAGAAAAGTTGGCCACTCGAATAAATTGGAAGTCGTGATACCAACAGCGATGCCCGATGGTTTATTACGGTGGGAAAAGAACGATCCCGCGTAGGCATCGTTAAGGAGGTGTCAGACGCAGAATGTCCCCGGTTTCTCTTCGTTCGAACCCGAAGAAAATGGTGCACCGAAAGTAGTCGAAATCCTTGACCTTTCTTCGTTCACTTTTTTTGCAACGACTAAACGAACATCTTCGCGGTCATCAGATTAGATTCTTTCTTGGGCACGAAAGACCGAATCGTAAGGGAAAAAAAAAAAGCATTTAGAAAGGATTCGGTGATGACGGTACGTGTCTTTAAGATTGGACGATCGATCAAGTCTTCGCGGTTTTTGCTATTTAATTCCTTTCTTCATCCCCCGTGAACAAAGACGAGACACTACTATTCTGACGAGGCAAACGCTGTGACTATTTACGATCCTACTTGGACACAAATATAGGACGAATAATGATTTCTTACATAGCGAACACGGAACTAGAGAAACTCGACGGCTAAATGTTTAAACGATATCGATTTGATAAGGTGTTACTGTCTGACCAACAAAGTTCGTCGGTACCGATATCATTTCTATTGTGTCCTCTTGAGTGAAAGACGTGGTTGATTCACATTAGAAGAGGGAGTTTCAAGTAATATTAATATTAAATTAATTTTGAAAAATTTAAATTGGAAAATGAGGCGACTCTTCCTGACTGTTCCCATTAACAAGGATCAAAGTACGAAATCATCCTATATTACTTAGAGAAGTTCTCCGGTATTTCAAAAACAGCTAGTTTTCATGCAAAAGGGTAAAGGGAGGGATGGTTGAACACACAAGAGACTAAAGAGGGAAATCAGTCGACTTGTCAATGGAATAGTTCAACGAACCGAAAACAGCCGAATGGTCGAGTGTTCATCGAGCAGTTCGTTTCTCCTAGGTAAAACGACGCCCTTTTAGGGATAAAAACGTTCATAATAGTGGAATGCAGGGACGAGGGACTGGCCGGGGTGCTTAATAATGCAATATGGCGTCGAAGCGTCGCGGCGCTATGCCGGCTATGCCGCATACCACCACCATATACGCCTACACTGCGACCCCCTTAACACAGCCGCGGCTCTGTTGCCGTGCGAAGAAGCCACCGGATAGGGGATGTACCGTGCAATCGAATGCTGATTAGAAAATATTGATGGAACTTGCCCCGTGCGGAGGCTTCCCTCCGATGCTTTTTCCAAGCTCGCCTCGGAATTCCGGAAATTATATCGAACGCCAACTTTCGATAGATCGTCCCACTTCTCCTCTGGCAGTGGTATTAATTATTATTGATCATTATTGATACGAGATTAATGAGAGTTTCGTTTATTGAGAAGCAAGGGTTTGCTTTACCAAAGAGCCATAACGACAATTTTCATTTTCTGAATATCAAATCATCCCTTTAGATAATATGAAACTTTTTCATTAAAAATTTTTACTATTATCTACATTTCTTAAGGCTACTTCGTTCAGTAGTTAAGCTCTTAATTAGGGAAGACGAGCAAAGGAGATATTCTCTTTTAGAGAAGTCATTTTTAGAATTAGTGGGTATTTTTTATAATACGTCTTTGTGATATGAATGCTAGGGATTCGACATTCCTGAGACATTACTCGTACTCGATTTTTTTCTGAAAACTCTTTAAATAGGGTGCGACGAAGGGAGGTTTGACGCAAGCAAAAGGTCAAGTTCAGTAACTCTAGGGAGTCATAAACAGTTAAGCATTCCTTCATGGAGAAAGACGAACCATTGAAGAACCAAGAAATCTTTATGTCCATGACTGTACGAGACCATTCCAAGTTCCATGAATGGTTCCAGGAGTGACACGTCAAAGGAGTGAACTGATGACCTACTGCTAGAAAAACGTGATCTGCTCGTTCCCTAACTCATTGATTCTGATAATGAAAATGGTCATATATAGTCAGATCAATTAAAATTTCAATCGTTAACACTTTCAGTGCATTACTAATACCTGACTAACGTACGAAGTTGTTACTTATTTTAATGTAAAATATATCTTTTTTCTTCTCCAGATGGGTAAATCAAAATTAAAGAGAAAGAAATGGACAAAGAATTTAAAAGATGAACCAAAAGATTCAGGCGTTCCTATACCGAATCTACCAGAAAAGTTTCTTCTGATGCGTGTAAGTTTTTCAACATTGATATTAAATTGCCTTGTTATTAAATTTCTAATATTTCAGGTGAAAAGTGGCACGAAGATCAGAAACGTTTTAGGATATGCATTGAAAGAATTTTCAAAATACAATAACGTTGTTTGGACTGCAGCAGGTCAGGGGATTGGAAAAGCCATTTCCTGTGCGGAGATTTTTAAGAAGAAACAAGAAAACCTTCATCAGATTACCAAGTTGCGTTACGTCGAGTAAGTTGAAAAATATAAAAGACTCTTATTTTTTTTGGTATTAATTCAGAAAAAATAAATTGCAGATCGACGAAATCGATAACGGAAAAGAAAGGTGATTTGAACGTAGAAACTCGCCATGTACCGGAAATACACATTCTGTTAGCGAAAGAGATAAAGGACACATCAGAACCTGGGTAATAAAATTTGTTCTTAAGTTTAATTCATTTCATTTTGTAATGATTTTGATAAGAATGCTTAATATAGTTACCAAGCACCCGATGATTGTGGAGAATTTTTAAACGATGAAGATGTGAAAAATAACAAAAAAGATAGGAGACAGGAAGCTGGTAATATGTCCTGCATTGACGCTGAGGAATTTGCAGCTATGGGCTTGAGAACGGGTCAAAAAAGACCGAAAAAAGAGCAGCAAGCTGAAGCGCCACCTAAAAAAAATAAGAAGAGAGATGGATGAACGACTATAAAAAGAAAATGAGTTACATTGTAAATAAACTTAAAAAAAAAATACATAACAAAACTCTGATTGTATACCTTTTGATTAGTAGTCCAAGTATTGATATTAAATAGAAAGTTTATTCTTCACCAGTACATGTATATTTGTTACAGACAATGTGGTCTTGATTTTAGTTACTTAAATGTCATTTTTTGTTTATTATTTACAAATTATATATACAGAGTTATAATAGGTACGAATAGACATTGAAAATTTTTAAAAAAAGCTACTTGCATTAAATAATTACCAAATAAAAATTTTTTTTTTAATTTTTCATCATTGATGATAAATGGAAATGGGAACACTTTCTAGTGCTGTTATTGTTGCTTAATAATCGTGTATCAAAATGGTACAAGTTTACAAACATTCACGTGATTTACATACTGATGAAATAAAAAATTGCAAATTTAACAGTATTCTTAACACTTTTATAACTTTATATTAATTGTTGATGAAAACTATTTATTGCAGCAGTATTCGGCAGTAGTATAGATAATCTTCCAATACTGATATTGCTTTTCTCAATAAGAAATCTAGAGGATACTTTCAATGTTGATTGACAGTAATTATAACGCTAAAATTAATACAAAATAATAGTTACTCGCATTCTCTAGTCTTATTTCGGAAAATATAAGTACCGAAACAAATGATAAAGATATTATTTTTCATAACTTTGATAAGTATTGTAGTAGTTTTCGATTATAATTTGGAAATTTGTAATTTTACAGCTTACATTAATGAGACTACAGACATACCATCTTATCGGTAGGTTCTGTTTAGATATAAAAAGGCACATAAAATTACAAAAGTCGTAGATTCAACAAAGCATGCGGCCATCAAAGTGTTAATATCTTAGTTAATAACTGATTATGATATTGTAAGCTGTAACTGGAAAGATATGTTCGAAGTTTTTAATTTATTACCACGTAAAATAAATATAATATAAATAAAGATATTGCATGATTTATTATTGTTACTAATATTATGTAAGGATTATATTTATAAGTATCTTTTTGGTTTAGCTATATCCCGATCGTTAAGACAAGTTATTCTCAGTATAATAGATGGATTTATTTTCTTACCATGAATTATTCCAATATTGAAAATGAGTAAAAATTAAAATATGTATTACGATTAATTTGTTTACATATTTGATTTCAAGAGAAATTTCTTAGAATTCATGTGCAATTATTAATTTCAATAAAAATATAATCGAATACTTTTGTACAAATTTACATCATTAATGTAGGAAAAATATCAAATATACGACCAAGTAATACATATAAAACTGAACATCCGAATGTTTTGTTATTTAATGTGACATTTATAAGTTCAGTATCTAAAAAAGGTATATAATTATACATTGTTATAATGATAAAATGGATAGTACGTTCATCATAAGAAATATCATTAATACGAACACTTAATAAAAATTTGTTCATAGTACAATCGTACGTTTTGTATACTTAATGAAAAAGGAGTATAACTCTTAAGCACACAAATTTCTATTAAAAAATTCCAATGAATTCCCATTAAACAAATTTTATTCTTAATCAAGAACATTTCAGTGAAATTAGGTACTGAACCTTTTCAATGTTCTTGTCACATTTGGGACTACAACAAGTATTTCAATGATATATCAGTATTACCAGTGACCTTGTTAAATCTGACAAATCGACTTGGGACAATATAAATAAACATTTAAATTCTAGGCTTCGCTTTCTGTTGTTCCATCTTCTTCCATTATTGGAACTATTAAACTCTCTTTTGACATCAAACTGTACTTTGTCACAAATGCTGTAAACCTATAGAAAAAGAAATTGATTCAGTGATCAAAATAAACATAAATTTTTTAAATATTCATATCCACGGGTATGTACCTGCGGCACAGAAAGGTTTTATTCTCAAATTCATCAAATATTGCTCTGTGATGATAATATGCATGAGAAAAAATTCTATAAACCCTGCGACTAACTGATCCAAGTTTGGCTACCGAAGATTCTTTGATACTAACCCTAGAAAAAAATTTAAAAGGATATAAAACATTCTAAATTTTAAATTATATGTATCCTGTGTTTATCGTAACTTTTCAGTAATATACCTGCTGGGAAAGTATTTGTTGCTATTAAGCAAACAAGCTGCACCATCAAGAGTATGTCTTGTATAGTCAATGGCTGGACATTCCTTAGGAGTTTTGTGAGCAGCACACAAAAATATCCATTGTTCTGTAGCTGTCATTTGACTACAAGATGCTGGATAACATTCTTCTTGCAATCTTACTGTCAAGCCATTGAGTTCCATACAAAATTGCCTCAAATGCTCATATTTCCACACTGCTTCATCTTGTGCATCTGGCATTTTCAATATCAAATCAACATTGGATGGATCCTTTCTGATCATTTGTTGAATATATTGTTGCACAGCCAATGTGCTATCCATTTCTTCGAAGGGTTCATCTGGCCATCTACAGAAATCCTAAACACATATTTCAACTTCAGAAGATACAACAAACCATAGAATCAAAATTTAAACTCTAGATACTATTGGCATAATAAAAAACATATTGTGTCATTATCTGTCAAACTTTCTACCTTTATTATTAACAGAGAACATGAAATACAACATTCTTAAAGAGCAAATAACCTAAAAACTATGTTAAGGGTCAAGAATAATTTGCATATTGATAAATGTATAAAATGTTACAAATGAAACAATAAATGATAAAGTATGAATGTGTAAACAGTCGCTTCTCGCTCAGCATTGATTTTCATTAGATGCGCGTCAGAAACGCGTTTAAATATTTCTGCAAGTACAAGGCATATAACCAAACATTTATTAAATAATCACACATAAACCAAAGAAAAAACAAATAGCAAATAATATTAATATCTTTATCAACCTTTGCTTTCGTTCCGGGTCTATTTCTTCTAAGGATCGTGGGTCCATCCGCCATCTTCATTTTGCTAGTTGTTGCACTCGATTATGCCAGCTTCAGAGGAAGAATAGACTTGAAAGACCTCCCCCTAATTGTCTTATTGTTACCGAGACTTCTCTTCTCTTATATATTTTGAACAAAATAATAAGAATCAAAATTCTTTAAAATATGTTGAGACAAAAATCAAAATTTAAAATAATTTGATTCAATTTCTTTTTAATTGACAATTTTAACATTTTTTGAAATTTTGAAAATTTTGAATTGTTAAAAGTCTCACAAAGTGAAAAATTGGAAAAGAGTTTAAAAGATGTACAGAATAAATTTAGAAATAAGGGATTTTTATGAACACAATATTTTTTATTTGCACCTTTTAATCAACCTGATCTTTACTTAAAATCAACATGGTACTTGTAAATACATGTAATCATGTTATACTTGCTTCCTCTAGAATATAAATAAAAATGTTCATTTTGTTTGAATCTAATAATCCGCTTTATTATTATAACAATGAAAATTTATATACAGAAGAAACAATTCAAAATTTTTTCTTATACAATATGTTAAAAATAAAAATATCTGACTAAAAAGTAGCAGCTTTTATATAGATATTTATTCATAAATATCTTCTTTGTCAGCAACATAACGCACTATATCTGCTGGCCGTAATAATTTCTCTGCATCCATATCTGGTATTTCAAAACCAAATTCGTCTTCTATGGCCATTATAACTTCTATATGATCCAAAGAATCCAAGCCCAAGTCATTCATAAAATGAGACTCCAAACTTAACTGTATAGAATTTTAAATTATGTTATTATATATCCATAAATGGTGATATCAAATAACTGATATGTAATTGAAAGAAGAACATAATCTGCTTTCAATTTCTACATAAAATAAAAAAATAAATATACATATCAGTTTATCATAGAGACACCACGATTCAAGCGAGGTGTTAATTGATTATTATCTGATCTAAAAGCTATATAACAACCAAATACTAAAACTTTACAAAATTATATTTGAATGTCTCTCTTAAACTATGCAGTAATGTTTGCAAGAACATTTTCACAAGCATCTTTAATATTGTATCGTCTGATAGTGATCAGATACCTTGTTTCGATCAATTTTATCATAGAGACCTAGCACTAAAAGTACACGCTGGCTAATAAGTTGAAGTGTTAATGGTTGCTTGTGACTGTAGTGGCGCACCTGCTTGACTCGTGGGCCCTGTAAAATAATAGTTTCTAGAAAATATATAGTTTTACAACCTTGTCAGCAGATATTTTATCATAGGCTTTGACCACATCGAGAACACGTTCCTGAATATCTTTAATTTTAGCATCTTTACAATATGTGCGTATAGTCTGTGTCTTTACCTACATGTATTATATGATCTATATATTATTATTTTATACTTATATGTTAGAAAATATATAATGTTATATTTTTTTCTTCAATAAAGTTTTAAAAAAGAAGACTTTTTAGTAAGAACAAAACGTGAGAATTAATTATTTTTTGACCTGAACATACGACAAGTTCACTGTTAAACAAAATAACAACTTTAACAAAAGAGACCTGAGTCTCGATATCGAAAGTATAAAGTATACCCATTCTACTTTACGTGCATCTTATTTAATTAAAATATGACATGTTACACTGACGGAATTAATTGAATTATTGCTACATGTTTAAAATGATCTAATGTTCTATATTTTGTCGGAACATCAATTATTTTAGTTACATAATACGAAATATTAAGTAGAACATATTAACCATCAAAGGGAGTTTTATGGAAGCTATCGGAAAGAACGATGTTTACCTGCGGTAAGACTTTAGTGGTACTTTGTCGGTTACAATGAAAGAATCTTTCATTTAATTGAAGTTGTGTAACAGCACCACGTAAGCATGGTCGACTGATTAAATTTCTAAGAGTACCGGTATTTCTCATTAAAAGACGAACTCCCGCGAGAGACGCCATTTTCTCTATCACAACGATTTCTAAAATCGTTCTGCAAGACTTAACCTAGGCACGTGCACAAACTTTATTCCTATTACATGAGTTAGGAATTGCAACGACATCTGTAAGGAAAGAATATACTTATTTGGTGCTGCTCAGAGAAGCCCTCTACTCTTACTTCTAGCTTTTTCGTAATAAAATAAAGTTTATGCTAAAACAGATTACAATTTTTTCCCCCTTTTATTTAAAAAAAAGTAGAAGTTAATACTTACATAATATTGTTGCGTGTCCTCCTTGCGGTTTAGGGAATTTTAGGGATTTCTGGGACGTGAGTAAGGTGCCCGTGGAGCGCTGAAGCACTCTGTTCGCGGCGCGCAAAACAAATCAAACACCTTAGCGTTGTTAGTAAAAGTACTGACTGCTTTATTTGAGAATGACTTTGAAAGTGTATCTAAGCGGTGTATAAAGCTTGGAATCGATTTGCGCTCGGCGGTGAAGATCCTTGATCGATGTCGGCTGGCATCCCTTCTTCGCTGAGTGCTGAATCCTCCCTCAGGATTGTCCCTGGTCCAATGGCCAAGGAGCCCATCTCTGTTCAGAGGTGGTTCCTCTCTCCGGCTTCGAGCCACCCTCAAGCGAGTGGAAATGGTGGTGCTCCGCCAAGACACGAGAACGATTCCGTGCACACGTGCTAAGAGGGAGCCAGAGGACCCAGAGAAAGACAGAAAATGAAAAGATCTTGTGCTAAATTTATGACCCCCCTTTGAATAATCAGGATGTCGAAGAGACTTCGACGACTTCGGCAACCAAACAGGTGATGCTAGCGTTGAAAACTTTACCGACAGTCCCTAGAAAAATTCCTAGAAACGAGAACACAAATTACGTCGTCATTACTAAACAGAATGCAAAAAAATTTTAGGGACGTGTTCAGGAGGCCATAAAGAATGGCGCTTTGGTCCTTATTTTATCCAAATTGTCAAAAAGTTATAAAATATTGAAATTGGTGTCTGTCCACGATCAAGAAAATGGCGGATCGGACTTACCTGCATTAATTTATTCGTAATATAAACATTTTTGCGGATCGTATGTCCAAATAGAGACCAGAGCGCCATTCTTTGGGTCGGATAGAACAAAACGAGCACCCAAGGAATGATGTACAAATCTCCAGATAGAAGAAATTTGTGTTCTACAATTTTCACCCGTGAAAGACGTCAAAAAGGTAAAACAGACGACAAATTTAATTCCTCGTCTTTTCTGTAGGGCGCAGTTCGTTCGTTTTCTGCGCTTGACCGCGCGCTCATTCTCATCTCGTATATGTGAATATGTGTGCGTCGACCGAACCGTCGGCAGCGACGAGCGAGCAGTCAGATTTTGGTATTAGAAGTGATAGTAGCGAGTGAGTGCGAGTGCGTACGTGCGGTCAACGTTACGGCAAGTCCCTATTATTAATAAAATTGTAAAATTTGGGTCCGATAACGGGCACCTTCCGCGCCCGATTCTTTTAATGCCTTGATATCGTCTCGCCCCCTTCTCCAGCCTCTAAAGATCTCCTGTTCCCTTTAGATACTCGATCGCGTAACGCGAAGAACCTCCTCGAACCCTCTACCCAGAGATTCCCATCCCATATTCTTTCCAACCCTTGCGAACTTCCCTGCATAGACTGTGACGGCCGGCCACGGTCTTTATTGTAGAAATTTTATATAAGGTGAACCCCCGAAAAGGGTCACTTTGGCGCCCAACGTGGGGCCAGGAAGGTCCGACGTTCTATAAGCTCTTGCGATCGGAATTTCTCGAAACACCGTTACGAATTTGAAATTGTCGAAACTACGCAAAGGTGCCCGTTACCATTACTGATACCCTTGTTGCCGTTTTTCTTTGCCATTGTCGGTCGTCGGTAATAATCACACGGTGTTGTAATTAACGTACCGATATAAAAACTATCAGTGCCTCTCAATCGGCCCGAAAGCCGTTTTCGATCGAACGTTTGATTTTGAAAATTATTTTGAGCCTGTTGCATAGTCACTAGGTTTGATAATTTATGCCATACAATTTTTTTTGCTTTGTTTCGCCGATTTAAATATACGTGTCGCGTTTTGCCGATATTGAGTATTCTTGTCGCGCCCTTTGCCGATTTCGAATACTCTTGTCGTGGCACTTACCAAAAAAAATACAGTCACTCTCAGTGAAAATCGTCCATCTGCAACGGGGCGTATATTAGTCTAAATAAAACAATAAATACAAATAAAATACAATGATTGCGCACATTAAATTATTCTACATAAATAACTACATAATATAATCTAAAAGCAAAAGATTCTGTTGAATTATGTTATGAAATAATACGTTATCAAATGGGCCGATACATTAGTAGTAACGAAGCTATTTGGCGTATTTTCGGTTTTCCTATACATGAAAGAGATCCTGCTGTTATACATTTGGCTGTGCATCTTCAAAATGGACAACGTGTTTATTTCACGGAACAGACTGCTCTACAACAAGCATTAACTGCTCCAAAAACTACTCTTTTTTCAACCTTTGTAATTGACAAGATGTTTTTGGTGGTAAAACTTTAGTTTACCGGACCCAAAATTTTGGACCTTTTTTTTTTGAATCTATAGTTTTTGATGCGTAGAATTTGAAAATGCAAGTCTCAACTTTAGGAATTCAGTGGTTAAAAAGTTATAAGCGTGTAAAGTTTGACATTTTTAGCGTATTTGCTACGTTACTGTGACGCCATATTGCCTTAGATGTATAACCTGATTGGTCCTCGCATAGCGTAGAACTAAACTTCCGCTTACCTTAATTAAAAACATATTGTTTCCGAATCGTTTTCATCATTGATCCCATAAGGTCTATGTTGTTGTGACGGCAAAACCGTCTCCACAGATATTCGCATAAGCGATCGGCAAATTCCTTGTCGTGAAAACGACCCCTCCCTCTCATCCAGTCCTTCGCCGGCCGCCAATTTGATTCTATTTGCTGGGTATGAGTCCCATCACTAGCTGTATTTAAATTATTCATAAAATTGAATTCTCTCTCTCTCTTTAAAAAAATATACACCTAACTAACTCAGACAGTATCAACTTTACCCGCCAAAGTAGTCGGCACCCACGTGAATCTGCCTGCAGCTAGCGACACCGTTCATTGGACAAGAAGTCAATATGGCGTCACAGTAACGTAACAAATCCGCTAAAAATGTCAAACTTTACACG